GGTACTACCACTACGTTAGCTAACCAGTCCGGGTACTTAACTTCCCGAATGGATCCTATTTTAAGGAGTTTAACTCGTCCTTGATGAATGCATGCTTGACCTCGAATTATGGTTTCCTCTTCTATTTAACCGGATAGAACTTCGGGTCCAAACTCAGCTTATGAGTGGTTACCTCCGGCGGGATACCTGTCATGTCAAGATGGGACTAAGAGAAACAATCTATGTTAGCAATAAAAAATTCAATGAGTTTTTTCCTGAGCTCATGAGTTAACCCTGTGCCCAGGTATACCTTCCGATCAGGTAAGTTCTCGATCAATATAACTTGCTCCAATTCCTCGACTGTCGATTTGGTGGCATTGGAATCATCAGGAGCTATGAACGATCTAGGAACTCTATAATCATCCTCCTCGTCTACTCCTCGTTCTCCCGGTTTGGTCGACACCGGTATCAGTGATTTCTATTTAATTTCTTCATTCCTGGTCAGCTCCGTGTTCTTTGATGTCGAGACCACAGGCACCGGGATCACCTCGTCGACTGTGAACATTTCCTTTACGGCCGACTACTCTCCGTAGATCGCCTTGATTCCTCCCAGTGTAAGGAACTTTAGTGCCTGGTATATGGTTGAGGGTGCCGCCCTTATGTTATGAACCCATGGCCTTCCGAATAGGATGTTGTACCTCATATCCCCTTCGATCACGTAGAATTTTATCTCTTTGATCGTCCCAGCAGTATTCACTGAAAGGGTTATTTCCCTTTTAGTAGTTTCGCATACCATGTTAAACCCATTCAACACCTGGACTGCTGGCACTATTTGATCCTGTAACTCCAATTGCTCTACGACTCTCGATCGGATGATGTTGGCCGAGCTACCTGGACCAATCAACACATGTTTAACTCGAGATTTATTGATAAGTACAGATATTACCAGTGCATCATTATGAAGTAGTACGATGCCCTCGGCATCCTCGTCGCTGAATGAAATGGTTCTTTCCGGGACGTAATCTCGGGTGCACTTTTCCCTCGTGATGGATACTTTAGTGCATTTTATCATTGGCTCTTGAGGGACGTCGACCCCTCCAATGATCATGTTGATGACGTGTTGAGGTTCCTCTTATTCGGTCTATTTGTTGGCGTCCCTGTTTCTGAAGTGGTTTTTGGCTCGATCACTTAGAAATTCTCGTAGGTGCCCATTATTAAACAACCATGCAACTTCTTCTCTCAATTGTTGTCAGTCCTCCATCATGTGGCCATGAGTTCTATGATACTTACACATTAAGTTAGGATCTCTCCTGTGGCCATGGTCGAGACCATTTGGTGTCCTTGATGCGCTCGATGGCTGATACGATACTGACAGCATCAACGTTAAAGTTATATTCTGACAATCTTGGTGCCTCTCTGGCCCCGAGCGACCTGTCAAAATCATTTTTGCTCATCAGACCTCAGCTATTGGGCCCTCGATCGCTTCTCTTTTCATTCCTCGTAAGGTGATACCCGATATTGTTTCCCCTTCGATCTCCGATGTATGGTTGATACCGGTCTCGGATCGATCTTGGTTAATGATCGATGACTCTATTAGACCTGTCGTTGGTTCTAATAGGATAAACGGACCTAGAAGGGGCTCTGAATTGGCCGTCCTCAACTCTAATTTTTGACTTGTATCTATTGTGGACATCGGCCCAGGTTAGCACCGGATACTCAACCAAATTTTGTTTTAGCTGCTGCGAAGCTAAGGAGCTTCGGGGGTTAAGTCCTTGAATTAATGCCTGAACGGCTCAATCATCGTCAACCGGAGGCAAGTCTATTCGTTCTATTTGGAATCTTGACACGAACTCCCTGAGCATCTCGTTATCTCTTTATTTATCTTTGAAAAGGTCCAATTTTCTGGTTTCGACCTTGATAGCCCCGTCATGTGCCTTCACAAAAGCATCTGCAAGCATAGCAAATGAATCAATAGAATTTGGGGGTAAGATGTGATACTATATCAGTGCTCCTTTTGACAGAGTTTCCCCAAACTTCTTTAGCAAAACCGACTCGATTGCTCGTTTGGATTTGTGATTCTGTTGTACTTTAGAATATCGGGCATACGAAACCTCTTTGGGATCGACTTTGGTGTAGTGCTTGGAGGGAAAATCTTTTATATAAACTTCTTGAAATCTGGTCCTTTTAATATCGTAGGTGCTCTCGGGATTTGATCGACCCTGGAATTATATTTCTTCACCTTCTTGTCGTTGGCCTCAATTTTCTTCTCACCTGATTCCACCCGCTTCGTCAATGCTTCAAGAATTTTCATTATCTCGGGGTTGGCCCTGGGCTCGGCTTCACCCGACCTCTCGGCGGTTTGTTCATTTCTTCGGGTGCTCTCCGGGACCGCTCGAGCTTGATCCTGCCAGGGGGTGGCCTTGATTCTATAGCTGCGCTATCGCCGCCTGTTGAGCCTGCAACATTTCGAAGATTAGTCGCAGGCTTACCACATCGCCTTCGCCTTCGGGCGTTTCTCGAACTGTTGGTCGGGGACCTCCACGAACGCTATTTTCGGGGTCAGTTGGTAGGTTGACGTAGATAGCAACCTGTGAATTGGCTTCGATTAGATTGGTGACTCGGACTCTGTTGGGATCAGCAAGGGACACCTCATTGTTAGGTGCCAGATTGTTATTTTCGCCATGATGGCCAGACTCAGCCTTAACGTTCAAGTGAGCAGACTGAGAATTTGACATTTTTAAGCTAACCTGAAATTGAGACCACAAAGAACAAGCGTAAAATAGAGTGTGTTATGGAGATTTGTATCAAACCACCACTATTATCCTTAGCCCCACGGTGGGCGCCAAACTGTTTACCCTTAAAACGGATAACAATTGAATTTATACGTGGTTTTAAGGATATGTGGATAGATTCAATACAAATAATCAAGAATGATATATAAACAAGTTAAAGATAAAATGAATAATCAAACCAGTTGTGACGTTAAGGTCGGGCTCAGATTTAAGCTGAACAGTAGTTTTGTCCTCGACTGGACCCTTAATTCGAATCCAAATATATATATGAAGAACAATAATTAAAATAAGAACCTTTCAATAGCTAGGAAGTAGAGAAATACGTTTGTATTGCCTTGATATGCATGTTACCATGTGTCTTATTAAAGAAAAAACTTTCTCTTTATATAGTAGGAGAGTTTCATCCCTAATACAATCCTAAAAAAGGTAAAAATATTCCTTTCTCGTCAATTACTGATCTGTTGCCGGCTTCAGGCGAGATCTGCGTTGTGATATCTGGTGGGGTTAGTCGTGTGCAACCGTTGCCATGCTTTCCGAGGTCTCGGAGCTCGTTCCGGGTTTGGGGAAGTATTGTCTTATCAGACCCGGTGGCAAGCACTCCGTTCGGGCCTTGGTACGAGAAATTCCCAGCTTCAATTCCAATCCCATGTAGTTAAGTCCCTTGCTTCGTTTGACCCACGAGGAAATCGGGACGTGTGTCCGCCCCGTTTTTTACCCGTATACGAGAGAACCTCCTATATTGTCTGAAAATTGATGTTTCAAAGGTAGAAAGAAACCATTTTTCATTTGACGGTTGTTCTAATAAATGGGAGCTAGCTAGATAGAAATAAAATAAAATTAATTATATGCTCCTTTTTTTCCTGATAATAATGGTATCTGAACTAGTATGAAGGCACCTCTAATATTTCATCTGTATTTGCTACTGTCTCATTATCATAAATATTGGATAATTTTATCTACCAAAACGGATATTTTTTATATTTTCTTTTTGTGATTTAATTTCTGATATCTTCGAACTTTCACCAATTTATTGATCATTAGCCACAACTTTTTTCCCCAGCCTCCTCGCATGCTGGAAAAATACTCAAAAAGTCATGAGCGAGTCAAGCTGGAATAGAATGACAAGGCCAGAACAATGCCAATCCAGTAGACACATGGTAGAACGTCAGTGTCACAGGTTAGAATACGGTTTGGGTAAATTCCAAATGATGGAATGGATAACTATTGAACTGTGTGAAAAAAGAATATAAAAATACTAATAAGAAGAGGTAGAAAGTATGTCAAGTTTGTCAACGTTCATACGGTAATATGCATAAATGTTGCAACATTTGGCACACATATCTATACCTTTTTAACCTAGTTTACTTCTTTGTACTTTTTCTCTTTGGAGTTCCTTATACAGCTCGACTCATATTTTTCTGTTGGATTGTGGTGTGGGGGGGGGNTGTTAATGATGCCAGCCATTCTGCCTTTCTCAAACTTCTGAAATGTGGAGGGCAATGAGTATTTAAACATTAGGATTGAAGAGGTCATTTTCTTCATTCTAATTCCTTTTTTTAAAAAAATAAAAATGTACCTTAGATTAACTTTGTTCTCCAAAAGCATTTCACAAAAAGGTTAGCTCGAAACAGTTGAATTTCCTCGGAATCATTCTTCTTGTCTTTTCCTTACCTTTTCCCTACCAGTTTTGGAAAGAACTACTACAAAACAATAACAAAGGACTTAACTGCTGCAATTTTCATCGTTTTAAATGAAAACCTACAAACTATTGCAACCTGAAAATTGTATCAGGAACAGAATTTGACAAAATTTTACAAAAACGCTCAGTTTCGTAATGATAAACAACAATATACCCATTGTATTTTCACCGGTGGGGTCTAGAGAGAATAGTGCATGCAGGCTGTTTCGGAGAGATCATCAGCAGTTTCATAATAATAAATCAAAAAAAATTAGCTCTTCTATTGCAGATTACAAATTTTGTGTGCTGTACAGAACATGGACCGATATCTGCATGGTACTATTCCTCGAACTGTTGTCAAGTATCTTCCTGTTAATGCATTTGGGATAAACTTAGCATCAATCACAAAGAATCAGTTAACTGATCGGAAGTGCATCATTGACTATTGTGAACACCTAATTTTTTTGACATATTTGAATTTTCCCAAAGAAGGGTGTGACAACTATAAACCTTAATCTACCTTCGGCCTATATTTAAATACACAGAGANCCTTCCCCTACCTAGAGAACTAAGCTTCAACTCCAATATTGAAAATGCTGTAAATGTCACTGCAGATTGCAACAGTGCTTGAAGAAACAGCTAACAGTATCATGACCCATGACACTAATCTGTCCCTCTTGGTTGCAATTCCATGTGTATCCCTGTTCAATGGCAAAGGTGGAAAATTAACTTTTAGTACGAGAAATGAAAAAGACTATAACTGATAAAAGAGGCTACTATCGAAGCTAGACGTATTACAAAGCAGATAAACTCCAAGACTCATGCTTAGTCTCCATTATATGTAATCAACGTTTAGGAACATCCATTACCAACTTATTTGAGTTTGCTTTTCAACTAGTTGGCTCATAAAGAGGAACAACTTATTACTTAGATAACCAGCTTGTAAGAAATCATTACGAAACAAAAGCAGGTAACATTTGAATATGTGGCAAGGATTACCCAGATAGCTAAACAGTTTAAAGAATTTTTGGACAACTAACAAGCTTTAAGATCCATTATTAAACCAGCCTGAAAAGGGAAGATGGTGGGCATGGGCGCTCACCTAAGGACAATAGCAGCCGGAAAAATGAAACCAACAGAGACAGTAGCTGTGGCACCAGTAAACTGGAAGGCATCCCAGATGCTAGGTACACAATTTGCTCCCAAAAAAATGAAACAGACGAGAGCTGCTGTGACTGAAAAGAATCTGCGATTATCATAGGCAATAGGAATTGCATATGGGAAAAAGAGGCCATCCATATTGAGGCGAAGCGAAAAGAAAACAATTGGAAAAACAAGCATCAAGTGGATGACATAGCTCACTCGCACCACATCATTAAGCAATGAGCTGTAAGGAATCCCAAGTTCACCATCAAAGTTGGCGAGTACATCATCCAAGGTATGATCGCCAAAGAGAAGGAATCCAAAAAAGCTGGTTGCCACATATACAGTTGTGCATAACACAATTGAAGTCCGGACGATTGACTTCATCTGGCTGCCATCTCTTAGCTCATTCTCTATTGGATGTACTGGAACATACAATGAAACAAATATTAGTGTTTTCACTAGTAATTGTTGCTCAATCATATGGAGTAGCATTTATCCAGACTGACGTATAGGAAAACACCTTGTCTAGCAAGAGGTACTTTTGCTTTATTTTAGTAGAAAAAGTACCTAGCTTAATTAGATAAAAGGGAAAAAAAATATGCAGACAGAGAAACAGTAGCAAAACCCAATGCAATCCTCCATTCTTTCTTGACGCTGCTTCTGATTCTCAGTTCCTCTATCATCCAACTTCATTACTGGACACCCTTAAATCTGCATTTTGTTCCTTTTCTAATCCAACGATATTCCATAGTAGCCCTCTTTGTTCCATTTAGGCCACAACATTAAGATTTCACCCAACATACCACTATAACACCAAGAATCTACTCCCAGCAGAGTACAGACCAAAAAGAAATCAATTATAGAAGAGTACGCTAAAGCCAATTGGTGATATGTCATATGTGTAACTAACAAATTGGCAAGCTATTGAATATAGCCCATTTTCCGCCTCCGCAGTCACAGTGCAACAGCAATTGAATTAAGGCATGCAGCAAAACTGGTGCTGAATGTCCTTTTGCTGTTTCGCAGAATAATACCTTCTGCTGAATATCAAACAAAGAATGACAGAAAAAATTTCAAGAGTTCAGAATTTGATCTTACAATGACGATGAACTACGACTATATCCTATATTAGATAGCCTCCGGCTTGTGGTATGTGTCCAGTATGGATATGTTGGAGTTAGCAACATTTTAAAGTGTGTTTGAAGGATCTGAACAAAGTACCATATCCATATTCTGCGCGTTTGACACAACTACATCAACACATATGAAGATTACATGTAACATTGCTGCTGCCTAGTGCTATCGTATAAAGACACATAGAAGAAAGTGGAAGTAACCCTATGGTTGACAAATGTGGTGCATTACTTTCTTGTAGTTGGATCTGAGTCTAGCTACTGGCCATCTCTCAAGGTTTTGGTCTCAAGCCCCCAAGTATAATTTCCTAAGGTAACTAGAGATAAGGATAGAAATGAACATAAGGATGTAAGGAGTTGAGAAGCCGACATGGAAATCAAGAGCTCCCTTTTTTTTTTGGATGGTGCACTCGTTAACTTGCACGCACGTCGACTATTTCAATTTTCACCAGATACTGATTAACTCTGCCAACAATACATAGCAGATTTGGAAAAAACATCTAACCTTTTAGCCTCTGCTGGGATTCAGATACTTGTCTCCCATGATTTCCGTTCCAATTTTATTGACCACTAAGCTACACTCTTGGGTTCAAAAGCTCTATTGTTTTAATTATAATTTTGATATAAATAAAGCAGCTATTATGTGTAGATAGTTGGATAGATTTTTCCAGAACTTAACGTAAACTTTTGTAAGGTGCACATTAGTAAAACTATTTAGACACACTAAAAGAACTACTCTATTACATTCCAATTCATTTGTAAGTTGCTAAAGAAGGCTTAAATTGCACTGAGTACTTAGTTACAAAGGAAATAAACAAAAAAGGAAAGAACCAAGACATAAGGAAAAAGAGATTATGTAGATATTTCTTCAGATAAAGTTCATGGTAACTAGCAATCTTTTCAATCAAGGAGGAAATTAATGATTAAAAATCTCAGTATTCAAGAACAGATAACGATAATAAAGAAAAGGCTTACAAGATAACCAAAAAATCAAAATTTTAATCACCTCAGAGATGACATCACATTATAAACAATGATAGATGACCACTCGCCTTTTAGTGACGCTGTGTCTGTCTGTGGTTGGGAGCAACAAAGTAAAACTGACTACATAGAGATCGCATTTCACATCACTAAGCTCCTTTGGGGATAGCTTTGTTGATAAGGAAAGATATATAAAGGAACACCTAGATCTCCTCAACCTTAATATAAATCCACGACTCAAGCTCTTAAAAGAACTGCTCTTCAAAATGTACTAAAGATGCTAACATGCAAACTGAAATGACAAAAATCCTAGAACTTACAATTGTGATGGCAAATATAGGCAGTGACAAGTACAGGGACAGTTGTGAAAAGCTTCCAGAAAGATGCCTGATCAACAAGTTTCGGCAGCAAGCGGGGCATTGCAATGCTTCCATTAATGAACTTAACAATGACTATTCCAGCTGTGATTACCACAAATACAACAGCTAGAGCGACTGACATGGCTGACGTATATCTCAATGAATCTGCCCAAAACAATAAAAGAAGTCAAGAAGTCATGAATATTAATGGAGGAGTGCAGATAGTGCATTTACAGTGCAATGTGTAGAATAATTCGCACTACTGAACAACAAAAGCCTTTTTCTGATGACCCTGGATACTGTGGAAGAGATTGTTCTTACATAAAATTATTGCATTCAAGGTAGTATTACTAGGGTAAAGTGTAATCAGCTCCTTATACCTTGGCCAGCTGAGCACTTTCTCCCTTAGAAGTTGGAACTATTTTCTCTAGCAATTTAACATGCGAACTTTCAAAATAGGACACTAAATGCCCCAATACTATGTACTGTCTTAACAGTAATTTGGTTTACAACCACATAAGAGGGATCATATTTATTTATATATGGAGGATAATAATTTACACATTCCACTATGAGGTGATAAATATTTATGAACGAGTGAATTACGATGCTCACCAACACGTTTGAATGAAACAAGAGGAACAAACACAAGGAGTGTAGTAAGAAGCAATATGTTAGAGCGCACAGTCCACCAATGTTGACCAAACCATTCTTCCATTACACCTGAATAGTGTACCCCATCTGATGAAGTCCCCGATAATACATCACCTGCAATCAAACACACCATTTTCATTAGCCTATACGGATAGCGCTGCAGGCCTTCCACTATACCTCTTCCCCCATTTTCTTCAGTTGAGAAAAAAAAAATTGTAGTCCATCCCAAAGAATGAGGTGCTTTTAGTACAATCATCAAAGCATCTAATTTAATCTCAATTTGGACATCAATTTCCAGAAATTGAAAGAAAAGAAAAACTTAAAATATTTGAAAACTACCTAAAAAGTGCGAACAATAACTATTTTTTTGTAACCGAATAGCGGTCAATGAAGTGGCTGGAGAACGCCACTAGAACAGTCGAGGTGCCCTCTCAAGCTGACCAGGACACAAAAAAAACTAGTTTCCGTAGTTAAAATACCAAAATCGTGGACTTTTTAAAAAATTGAAACTGTGTAATTTAAGAAACAACCAGTACTTCTAGAAAATCAATAAATTTCGACAATTAAAAGAAAAAAATGAGCTGGAATTAGGTACCAATGATGATCATGTAGACAACAAGCAATCCGAGATTGTTAATCACAATACAAGCTTGCAATAAAGTACGGCCAAATCCGCCGAACGCATCGCCGGCTAGGCCGGAGTAGGAAGAGGCGGATTTGGAAGCTCTGGTGAATCTAAGCAACATTTCAGTTGACTTCTCCGTCAGCATAGCGGCGAGGATTATAACGATAAGACCTGGAATTGCACCGAGTTGCTTAAGAGTAGCCGGAAGTGCCATAATTCCGGCGCCGACAATTGTAGTGGAGAGATTGAAGACAGCGCCGGAGAAGGAAGCGCCGTCGAATCCGGCTTCGAAATGGCCGAAATTGGAGTCCTTTTGCGGCAGAAGAGGGGTGGTTTTAGGGCTCCGACGGTACTTCCGGTCGGAGTAGGTCATTTTCGTAATTTTTGGTAAATTGCGGGGGGATTATTTGGGAATGAGGAAGAAATAAGGGAGGTTTTTAGAAATTTGTTTCAGCAAAAGGCATTACATGAAATTTACGCGGGAACTAACGTGGACAACGCTTTATTGAAGGCTTCAACCAATGAGGCAATGCCACGTAATATAGTGGGTCCCGGAACAATTTCGTCTCTGTGACAACTATGAAAGTGACAACTATGAAAGAGAGTTCTTTTTTTTTCATAACTATGAAAAAGAGATTACATAGAATTTCTTTGAAATTGTCGAAATTAGAATTTTAAAAATAAATTATTAAATATAATTTGCTTAAGAGAATGAAGAAGGTGCTGAGTCAGGATCTAGTAAGGCTGACAACAACCAAACTTGGCACATCTGCAATCATTATTCAAATTTCAAAGGTCTCTTTTTCTTGAATGGGAATGTGAACAATGAGAGAATGGGTCCAAACCAAACGAATCAAATGGAGGTTATAAAAATACGAGCGATTAGCGTTAAAACTATTTGAATTTTGTAAATATGATGGGTCTCAAATCTGAATAAAAGAAAAAAAAAATCTGATATGTTGATAATCAATAGGAAATTAGTTTAATTATAATGAATCGCTGATTACAGAGAATTGATATGGTTGATCTCTGGTAGGCGGTAGTTCAGAATGATTATAGTAGGCTGATATACTGATGGCAACTAGTGTGAGCTAAATAAGGAAGAGAAAAAGGCAAATAAATTATAAGCACTAATGAATGTATGAAGCTAATGAATGCATCATAATATGTGTACCGCAATTTTGAAACGGAGCATAGAGAATCCTGGGCAAGTGGGCACTCAGCCAGCTTTAGTCCCAAATAGGACTTATATTGAGGTGAAAGGCCAACCAAGAAAACACTGATTTTTCGTGATATCTATTTTAGTAGAGCGTATAATGTCGATTGCCCGAGATAAAACACTCAATTGGCTAGGGGCAATAGGCTGGTTAGGTTCACCTAAATCTGAGGTGTTGCATTTAAACTCCGAGAAAGGAGATTTACCTGTCCAGCGCAAATCTGGATTAATCGATAGACTTGGAATAAGAAATGGTTAATAATGAAAAACAAAAGAATGCATAACATGTAACATGATTTTATTTATTTATTTATTGCCAAAAACTCGTTACAACTTTAACATTCATAGTATTAGCAAACTAGTGCCGTTGTTCAACGGCTCTAAGAGTTTTAAAAATGAAATACTACTTTCCTTTCTATATTCAATAATTCAATAAAAAAAGAAAGTTTGGGCAGAAGTGCTTTAGGAAGACAATGAGTCCTCCACGCTTACCAGCCATCACATGATACACTATCTGAATCGCTTTGGTCCTTTTTTCTCTCTCTTACCTTTAGAATATGCCAACCAAACCGAGCAATAAAGACATCCATTACCTCCCTTTTAGTTCAAGCGAAGCATAAAATAATCACTTCGGATAGAATTAGAATTTTGACATTGGAATATTTAAATTCAATAAATCGCCAGGAATTTTTTAACTTATGTGCACCACTAATGTATTACTAACTGAGTCACTGACATGCACCGAGCACACCCTTGTAACCAGTTCAATATACTGTCTCAGACAGGCAATCAGCATCACATCATGAGGTGGTGATTGAGAACCCATTTGTAGTTCTTTTGGACAAATGTGACTAAAATATATGTTTAAAAAAAATAAATGACATTTTTATATATAGCGTTATGCTTTAACGGAGTTTTGACCGTTAAAGTATAGCGCTCTTTAATATATATATATATATATATATATATATATATATTACGCTCTTTTAAACCGCTTTATACAACTGATAAGACAGCTATGCATAGCGCGGTATATAACTGCGCTATATATGTATAGCGCAGTTATATACCGCGTTATACATAGATAAATAAACGGTCCCCCTCCTTCTTCCCCACACTCAAACCAGACGCCCCCTCCCCCAAATTAAAAATTCTTAACCGACCCCTTGGCAGTAGGTGTCGGAGTAAAATTTAGTACTAGTATTAATAGTTCATGCAAGTATTAGGAAGTTGTCTGCTTTTGCCAAGTGGTGAAAAGGTTTGTGGAAATTAAGATGGCGAGTTTGTCAAGCATTCCTTCAGCCTCGTCAATGTTCCAGGCCTATGCCTCAATGACTGCTTCAATAACCCTTTTAAAGACAATGCTGAATCAAGTGGTTCCTCGTCAAGTCCAGTACTATATTGTCTCCAAAATTCGTAGTTATTATCGTCCTCATTCATCAAACATAACTCTGGTTATAGGAGAAAAAGATGGCATAGCTATCAACGAAGTCTATAATGCTGCTGAAATCTACTTGTCAGCCAAAACCAGCCCCGAATTTCAACGTTTCAGAGTTAGCAAAAAACCCAAAGACCCAAACGTGAACGTAAAATCCGGCAATTGTGGAAAAATTACTGATTCTTTTGAAGGGATTCAATTGGTCTGGAGGTACGTTCACGAAGCTGGCACAAAGTGTTGTTTATCTGTATTTGTAAAACAATTATAGAGAAGATAAAATAATATAAATGTAAATGAAACAGTATTTAATCCGAGCCCACTGAATTCACAGTATTTCCTTAAGGAATTTAATCCCCTCCTAGTAC